TTCTGAGTCCATTTTAGCTTCTAAAGTTACCAGAATTAGCTTTCCAGACTCAGTTTTTGGTGGAAAATAAGAAAAAAGGTTTTGAAATTTCGAAACACTATCAAACATGAAAATTTCACTGTTTTTTTCCGCAGTTCAAAAAGTCAATATTTTTCAATTTTTTCTTGCAGAAATGGCGTTTAAAAATCTCAAATTACCACGAGAACTAGTAACACCGAAAATGACGGTATCAGAACTGGCAACAGTTGGAAATATTTCCTGCCCAAGCAGGCAACGTTCGGCCCACCTAGGCCCACCAATTCTTTTCGACTCTACGGAACACGGCCCAGCAGTCCAAAAATCCTGGTTACGCCATTGGGTATATAATACATTTTTATATCATCTGTAGTTTCAGCTCTACCCCCCTGGAAAAATATTATTTCCAACCGTGTAGTTTCGGATAGAACAGATAAAACTGGTTATGTCTGACACAAAAGTTTGCTAAAGTTTAGGGTTTTAAATATAAAAAATATGCAACCTTTGAGACATAGTCGCAGGATTTGGTGCATTCCTAGGATAATGTAAAGAAGTAATCCAAAAATATTTTAAATATCATTTATCTGGTCCCCTATTCGGTCTTTTTAACTTCTTTTTCTTTCTGAGTACTCATACGTAGTATATGTGAAAGTTACAGAAAATCATGACATTTTTACCACGTGTCGCAAGTTTTACAACTAGGATTCGCTCACGTACGATACCTGTGGATAGCACTACTTGTTGGTTATGTTTTATTACAACAGAATCGCATGATATCAAAAACAATGCGAGTATAACGAAACATTTAAACTTGAGGACAATATAGAGTACTTCTATTTTTGACTTTTTTGATCGACGGTAATAGTTGGAACCAACCTAAAAAGGATTTGAGTATTAAAAAGAGTTGTCTATCAGGAAGTGTGTGCAAAAAAACCATCAACACTTGTACACATAGGATTCCTGGAAGAAAAAAAATCAGGTCTCTGGATTTGATTGAAAATGTTTTCCAAAAAACTTAGTCTTATAGAGCAAATATAGTTAGAAGAAATATCTGGTATGCAACGTCAATTTGAAACAACTGCTATTATAGTTGAAGCAAGCGAATGGGTTTAAAAATGCTCCAAAGTTGTAGCAGAATATATGTGTATCATTGTATGAGGGATTTCTCAAACGTCGGTTAATTATATACGAGTGAAGAAGGTGCAAAATATGCTAAATAGTCATTTTTCCACTATTCGATTTGTTGAGTATTAGATGCATAACTTATCCAAGTTTTTTCTGGTTATTTTAAGACTATTATGTAGTAAAGACTGACGAGAGAATTACATCATAAAAGCTCATATTTTGCCCATATGATATGAGAGATAACCTAACTATATTTCGTGCACTGATGCCTAGTTCAAGAATTGTGATAATATCAGGTTTCTAGAGGATGTGATTCTGATGTTCTAGTGTCAGTTTTTGCAAGATTCATGTGTTTAAGGGCTGAAAAACTTGTTTGCTGAGCAGAATAAATAAATGTCTGACTAAATACTTGAAAAGTTTCAGCTTTACCGTTCGATGAGAAAAACTTGAGTCACTAAAAATCAACGCACATCAAAAACATTGATTAACTCATTTACCATATGATATTTTTCCATAGTAATTCAACAACGTTAGCAGATCTGTCCTATACTATAGCAACCACTTATCAATTCGCTATTTGTACTTCTAAAATTAGACATGTATCTATTGGACACATTTTTCTCAGAAATGAACTGAATTTTATTCCTTTTATCATTACGGTGATAATCGAAAGCTTCGTATTTTAAAATCATCATCGTTGAACTCATACCATTAATTTTTTCATTTGTTCATCTATTATCAACAAACAAAATGAAATTTAGCCAATAACGAACATATATTATTAGAACCTCAAATAAGGATCAATCTCGATACAAGAAATCAAGAAATTTCAAGACCTTGCTTACTTGAAATTTCCGAAGTTTCCTTACTAAGATGTTTTGTTATTTGGAAGAGAATCGTAATCATTAGCTCATTTCCGTTGGAGAAAAGTCTTTAAGTTTCATATCTGCGGGCGAGTGAATCATTACGATAATCTCACACGTTAAGAATGACAGTAATCGCAGGAACTTTTTGTATAGTTTTATAAACCAAAGGCGATCCGAGTCGATTTTTTCTCGGAGAAATATATTATTAAACATATACAAAGATTTGAGATTTTCTTCCGCAAACTAACATTGGAACGATACTTTGCATAGTCGATAATCTGTGTCAGTTTAAGCAGGAATCTAACAAACTATATGAGATGATATCTCGTTTCACACACGTCACCAATAAAAGTTTGCACTCGATTAATGAAACGCTGATCCTAATTCACATATTCTTATTGTCTGTTTCTTTCCTTATTATGGAGAGAGAAAATATTGTTGATTTCAGGCTTGGCCACTAATCACTCTGGAGAAAAATACTTGATACCTGAAGGATTACTCTTAGAATGTCAAAGTCGCGCCCACCACTGCAAAAATGTTTGAAATCTTTTTAAAATGACATTTCCTTCATCTAAATCACATAGACTTTCTTTTGTGATAAAAATAATGTCTGCAGATATAGAACGTATAATAAGAATGATATTTTTTCTCGTCTTTTCTTTTCTTCGTTCTGATTGTTTGTGTAAGCAGTAATTACATAATCACAATAATTATATACAGTTAACAATTGACTCAATTTTCGAAAAAAAAGACATTATACATGCTGCTTGTATTACCCAAATAATTTGAATAGTCGTAAGGTAGATAAACGGATGTTAAAATAAGACATTACGTTAATTTATTCTATTTATTATCCGTCTCAGAATACTGGAGCCATACAAACTTTCTGAATAACTTTCGAACCCAGATAGAAAGAGAGTTGTGACTTTGGTCCATACCATATTCTGGACTGTTTGTAACCGAAATTAAAAGATTAATTAGTCAGTCAACGTTTACCAGACTATTCCACAATATCAAAATATATTTTATTTTACCTGTTCAATCTGATTCTGTACCTAAGATCGATAAAAGCTATCCGATTTCATCGAAGGATTTCTAGAAAACCTTTTCAAAAAGTAAAATATGTTGTTCTATTGATAAAATAAATAAAGCTTATAAAAATATTTTATTTAAAACGGTTATGGTACAGTGCAGGTAGAATAGAAGATATTCTTATATTCGGAAGTAGTCTGAGTGATATAAGAAAGATATCCCCTTATTTACTAGTTCTCTGTTATGTCGCGCAATAATACTAGAGCCGTATCATATACAAAATATCATGTTCTGCTTTCTATCTAACATATATATGTATGTATAGCCGTTAGTAAACCATCAGAATACAAACGAAAAACGCGAGAGAGTGAAAGAGCGGCACACATGAGCTGAGCCTACTTGTAGACTTGAATTCGAATTAGAGCTCTACCATTTAGTGCTTTTTCTTATATGACATACAGAACTCTGCATGCGAGACAACGAAAAGAATATTTTTTCTTTATTACTCTCTTCTTTCGTGTCGTCGATGAATCATCATTTCAAATAGTGAAATAAAACTTCTTTACAGCAATTACTTTTCATAACACTCGACAAGCGGAGCAACTTTATTATTCGCACATTATTTTGAATTTTTTCCACAAATTCCTTCACCATTGTGTAACTGAGAATCTCAGTAATCGAAGAAAAAAAGAATTTATAGTTTATCATTTGAAATGAGGGAGATCTTAGCTGCATAATACATTCTACTTTATATTACAGCAACTTAGTATATCCTTAAATTTTCATTCGATTACTGAAACTCTGATCTACACAACGAAAAAGAATTTTTGGAAAAATTCAAAAATAAGGTGAGGATAATGAAATTATTCCGCTTGTTGAGTGTGTCTGTTCTTATTAAAAGTAATTCACTAGTCGTTTTAAACTTACTTCCGCGCCCTGCTTCAAATCAAAACTCGTTAACGATATTCAGCCATGACTCAAAGATCAAAATATTGCTGACAAGACTGGAATTAAGAAACTCTGAAATAATTTCATTGAATCAATTCATCAACTGGCCGCCTTTTTTCTGTAAATCTGCTTTTGATCGCATATTCTAACGAAGTCGGGGAAAAAGTTTACTGTATCTACTTTATTTGCTTTGAACCTCAGAGCAAAGTAGATAAAAATCCACTTTGACATGTTGAACAACGTGAATCGTTCCACTCTGAAAAGTCTCAGCAAAAATACTGAAGACCGGCTTAGTCGAGTTATGGTCAACCTAAAAAATCGATGATGTTAGATATGAGCACAGCTCCAATCTGTATCTTTATCTGCTTGATTTATGTATCATAGACAAAGCAAGGACTGTCTACAGAGGTTGACTCATTCTGGTTGACCACAAGTATTTTTTTCCTTTTCTTCTCTTGTTCTTCCTTATTGAATGTAACTATACGTTGTCGTATGTGAGGTAAAGAAAAAGTACTAAATAGTAATTTAGTGCTTTTTCTTTAAGTCCTTAGAATTTTCGTTTTCTTGATTTTTACTTTTTTCTTCATCTAGTCGAAACAAAAGATAAATGTACTTTTAAAGTGCATTTATATGTCAGATAGAAAACAGAAGACGATATCTCTTATATGATACGGGTCTAGTGTTTATTACTCCACATAATGTTTCACATGCTATTCACTGTTCTTTTTCTCTTCACCTTAGACAACATCATGACAGAACATCATAGAGATAATGTTGCACTTATCAAACGTTTTGGAGAATTAGCATTGAAATGTGTTCATCAAGAATATCCAAACAAAGTTAGTGGACACATTTTGAATTCGGACGCTGATGCCATGCCTCCTCGTGAGTTAACACCTGCCTTTTACGGTTGTTTTGACTGGCATTCGTCTGTCCATGGTCATTGGTTATTAGCTAGAATTGCCCGTACAATCACTGATAGTGATACTGAAGATCTTGTTCAAAGAGCAAAACAGGCATTAACAAAAAGTTTAACAGCAGCAAATTTACAAGCAGAAACTAAATATATTAGTGGATTACCAGCATTTGAACGTCCATACGGTTTGGCTTGGTTACTACAATTAGTGGCAGAATTGAAGGAATGGGAAATTGAGAATCCAGATGCAAGAGAATGGGTGACGAATTTGCAACCATTAGAAACACTTGTTGTTCAACGTTTACAAGACTGGTTGAGTAAACTATCTTATCCAATACGGAGTGGTGAGCATAGTCAAACAGCATTTGCTTTCGGACTCCTGTTGGATTATTCACGTACTGTTAATAATTCAGCATTTCGCTTGTTATTAGAATCGAAGTCAAAACAATTTTATTTTCAAGATAAAAATTGTCCTGTTACGTACGAGCCATCAGGTGAAGATTTTCTTTCACCATGTTTAGCTGAAGCCGATGTATTGCGACGTATTTTATCACCACAAGATTATGTAGCATGGTTTGATGAATTTTTACCGGGTGATTCATTATCACATCTAAAACCAGCGCACATTTCTGATCCATCCGATCCAAAAGGTATTCATTTAGCTGGTCTAAATTTGAGTCGTGCTTGGATGTTAAACGGTATTACATCACATTTGCCGAAGAATTATCCACGTTTAAAACAAATTCAACAATTAGCCGATAGTAACCAGCAAGTTGGATTATTGGCAATTGATGATGAACAGTATGTGGGTGGACATTGGCTAGGAAGTTTCGCTGTTTATTTACTTACCAAACGTGGATTAGATAACTGAGACAATAAAATATTCTGTTGATTATCTAAATAGACATCTCAGCCGAAAAAGTTCCAAACATCGCTTTATACTACTCATTAAAAATTCGTACACTGAGGTTACAACGTTCGTAACTATGTCTCATATTCGCAAATGTATGACGAGCAACCATACTCATTCGTGAGAACGATTTGCAACCGCTCATCCAATTATTTCCCACATTACTATGATAAAATTAAAATTTATACAAATATTACGTTTATTTTGTATTGTAACACAGACGATCTTCTTATTATTTAAATAAGTTTTACATGAAAATAGATGTGCATTTGCGGTTTTTGTCATACGAAAGAGAAAGCCTGAGATAATTAATTGCTCAGAAACGAATCAAGAAAGTATGGCATGCAGGTGGTGTATGTAGCTCCAACATTTTGACCAGATTCTCGCGAGAAAAAAATTTATTAGAGATCTTTCGTCCGAGAGCGGTCTCTAATCACCGAATTGCCCTCTACAAATCTACATAAGTTTTAGATAGCCATGAAATACCATTCAAAATGCTACAAATTTTCCTGTGAGAACCGAACTTTCTGTTATTGATCCCCGCTCATCTCAGAAATAAATGAAACTATCGTTTATCGACTATGCAAAGTATCGTTGCAATGTTAGTTTACGGAACAGAATTCTAGATCCCTGTGGAAACCGATGAAAAATCCATGTTTGCCCGTTATAAGAGAGTTGCTTTCCACAAATTTTTGACGTGGTAATTAGATGGAAATTTCCATAGTATTACAACTCTATAAACTTATATTATTGGATAATTGCGTTCCAACTTTTTATTTCATTCACGCTCTTGAGTTTTGACTACTGAAATGCAATTTGACTAAAGCCGTATGACATATTAGAGTCTAATGTATTATAACGCGTTCCAGTTTTTTGCCCTCACATAATTAAAAACTAGTGTACTAGAAGCTCGCGTTTCGCGCAAAAAATTCGCGGTTGTGTCTGGAAACAGTTCGCTACAGGATCGCGATTGAGTTCGCGACAAGATGGTGACTAAATTTCCTTGTTTTGCCGCACGATCGCTATTGAAATCGACTGTTTCGCGATAGGATCATGTTCAAATTGCTTATATCGCGGCAAGATCTCGGTTTCACAACCATTTCAGGATGATGTATCTGTAATTGTGATGACTGTTTGAAGCTTTAAAAGGTTCTCGAAATCTACTGATTTCACCATGTTTTACCCGGTTTTCTCTTCGGGAACATAATGCAATCAAGCTGAATCATTCACCTCAGACTCTCTTTGAGGTTGAGCTAAAAATAAGTACACTGCAGTTTTATTTGTAAACACGCTCTCGCTTTCTATAATTCTTCTTAACGCGTCATAGAAATTATGATAACGGTGTTACTTTAGAAAAAATTTTATGTTTATTTCTAAAACAGCTTTAGTCTTAGACTTCTCTCATGTATTTCTCAATTACAGCTCGACATATAACTGGTATTTGATCTCAAAATAAAAGTGAGAGCGATTGCCGTTTTATGGTTCGCTGGTGAATATTACCGATAAGGTAACGTTTGCCGTATGTGAAGAAAACATTCACGCTTGAATTTTCAGAGACGCGTAGATATTATCGCTAAGATCAGTTCTTTATCAGAGCCACTCTAATATTCTGTGAAGGAGGCGGAATGGCTGAGCCCCAATCCTCTGTGCATCAAACAGAACCCAACTGATCGTCGCTACATCCGGAGAGCCACTAACAACAAAGCGATCTTACATCAAGGATACTCACAATTGTTATAAAAACAGCAACCTTTGATGCTCTCACTTCTGTGCATTTTTATTTTGAGATATTTGCACAGTAAACATCGATTGAGAGAAAGAACATAGAAAAAGCCCTTAGCTATAGCGCATTTTTTGAGAAAGAACACCTTTTTAATCTACACAAAATGCCTAAAGAAACAAAATTTATATTTAGGACTTTATATTCTCTCACTCACTGGAACTGCTGTGTACTTACTTTGCAAATTAGTTAATTTCGTTCTTAGATTTAATTCTGCTTGAAAAACTTAAAAGAGCAGATATGACCTAAGTATAGAATTATAGAATTTTACAACAATTTGAAGGACCTTATAAGGTCCTTCAAAGCATGTGGACCGTGTTAAAAGATCTTAAAATAAATGCACTAAAGTGAGAAATGCACCAAATGGTTGATTATCGTCCCTATGAGTTTCCTCGGTGTAATATCGCTTTGTTGTTGGTGACTTACAGGATGTAGCGAAGATCAGTTCTGTCCTGTTTGACTCACAGAGGATAGCGGCATAGTTTCAGAGCACCTCATTCACAGGAAGCTATATTAGCTTTCGGCTCTAGCAACGAACTGTTCATAGCGTTAGTATTTCTTGGATACACATTCGCTGTAAGTACAAGCGTGATGTTAGACGAGCAACACGATATCAATCTATCTCACGTATATTTTGAGATCTAATTCCAGTCGCTTGGCGAAACAGAATTGAAAAATATAGGTGGATACCGTTAGATCAACAGTTGATGATAACCTTCTGACTTAGCCACACTTAAAAAAACATTTAGTTCAACTTTGTAACAATAGAAAAGGCGAAAGGACTTCTTCACTTTCCACCAGATACGAGGGTATCCATATAAGACGCATGTTAGTAAGTCGCTTTTCTCGATATAACTCTTTAAAATGTCCGAGTATTTTATAGAATCCAGGTGTTGCAATCGCTCAAACGGATCTGTATATTCTGTAAAAATAAATTTCTTGTAAAATATAGGATGAATGCGATTGTTAATCTCTCTAGGAGATAAAAGAAAAATTATAAGATCTATAAAGACAACATAGATTACCTGTACTTTTTGGATGTGTCGGACCCCTTTCTGTTTCTGGAAACGAGTATGTAAAATAGCTGGAAAGGTAGGAGTTCCTTGGAAATCAGTTTCTAATCGAAGAACACCTCTCACAAAAAAAGTTGCACTTATAAAAAGATGCAGAATATTCTTTTCTGCAATCATAGACAAACTCTCACTCGTTTTCATTCAGAAATAACGGAATAGGCGTGTTACACGAGAAAGTTGGTCTAGGTTATCTCGATAATCACTGAACCAAACTTTATGAAACTCGGCGCTAAAGGGTTTTTAAACGTCCTCTTTCTTTTCTAGGAAGTTTTCTCTAAAACTCTCGCAAGTAGGGTTTTCTAGAACACTGGTTTTTTGGGCTATTTGTACTTCTTAAAACGAATTTTAAAATCACTCTTAAAATATGAAATATTCTTTTTTTTGCATAAACTTTTTTATTGATAAATAAGAGAAGAACATAAGTAAATCGTATCTTGCTATCGGACGCAGAGCGCTCATTGTACGCAACATAAAAATGATAAATTCCAATGTTCAAATAATAATATCAAGTGAACAGAAAATAAAATGAAGTAGTTAGAAAAGACATTTTTCATTATAGTCGGTGTCCTACACTCAATGACTCATACTCTACAATTGGAGAATAGTGATGGGGTTAGAGTATGATTTCTGTTATTCTATACAATTACTCCTATAATGCATAGTTTGCCTAGATCAACGATATAATAAGTGTTTTCGCTTATAAAAACGCTTCGTATTGTAAGTTGCTTTCTGTACATAGAAAGATGTAGAATTGAAAGGGCAATGGAATAAGTTATAACGTATTCTTTCAAATCCCCACAAACATCTTTGAAATATTTGAATAGCTCAAGGAGTTTCCGATCTGATCCATGCCTAATAACAATTCTGGTAAAGTTTCTGGGGCTCAGGTCTCTTGAAAACCCAAACCTTAGAAAACTAAGTCCACGAATTCGAATGACATTTGCTTTGTAACAGCCTCATCGTGTACAGAAAAGATTCCTAAGCAAATCAAGATCTCTGCAGTACTGTTTCTTCGAACAGCATTCAACGTAAGAAAGGTCCCATGTTACAAAATTATTCGAAAAGTACGCTTTTCATTTTTTTACCCATAAGTATTGCAAACTTGAGATTTGAAAGAATACTTATAACTTATTCTATTGCCTTTTCAATTCTACATCTTTCTCTATACAAACTATGTCTAATCTCTCTCTGTAGAAGAAACTATAATCAGTTTTATGTGTCACTATAAGAAAAAAATCGAGATACCTGGCCAGTATTTGTCAAATACATTTACGACAAATCTCAAAACAATGTGTTATAGCTCATTTTATAGCCCATGAAATTCTTTATCGAGTGATATATGAAGTAGAGTGGTTAATGAGAAAACAAATCAATATTATAAAGATGAACGATGCTGAACTAGCAGTTTGCTGAGATGCTACCAGGGATGTAGCCGGTATCAAAAATGCGATACCGGTACCGGTCATCGGTATACAAACTCTGTACCGGTACCGGCTTAATCTCGATCGTATTTGCCTAAATAAAAATACTTTTCCCTGGTTTTTCTTCGCTGTGTAATAGCCTTTGTGAAGAAAAAAAGTTTTTTCGCTGCCGATGTCGAAATTTTTCAGTCTCACACTGCCCGCCACCGTCGAACAGAAAAGTTTACGCTATCGCCGAATATTTTCCGCCGTCGCGCATGTTTTTTCGTTAGCTTCTGAAAACTGTTTCTTTATTGAGTTAGAATTCTAATAATAAATGATAGTATGGTACGAAGCTTTTTTTGCAATAGAGATATTTTAGACGATTTGAGGGTAAAGCAGTAGAAGTTAATTTAAATATTATTGAGTATAAAACTGTCATAAAGATTATAGTAGATTTTTAACAAAAATCACTTTATGGTTTATTCAGGCTTTCGATAAGGGCCACTTGTCAGCATCATCAGGAAAAACAGAAAAATGAAATAAAATCTCTGTATATACGGCCAATACGTAACCAAACTATATAAAGAGAGATTGTATTTCATTTTTCTGTTTTTCCTGATGATGCTGATAAGTGTCCCTTATCGAAAGCCTGAATAAACCATAAAGTAATTTTTGTTAAAAATCTACTATAATCTTTATGGCAGTTTTGTATTTTAAACGCTTTTTGACTTAACTTTAAGCTTCATGTTTACCTTGCCCCTACCATCATACTTAAAGACAATGGTATGATAACTCGATGATCGTATGGTTTAATAAAATATGGCATACCTCATGCACGATAACGTGGATCATTATCAAAATCTCGATCTAACTCATTTTCTGTAATTCCCATTTCATACAAAATAACCTTTTGTGTTTTCGGAGTAAAAAGAGCAATACTATTAGGATTTACGTTTTCTTTCGGTGGTTTAGGTAGTGGTCCTCGCACAGGACCTGGTTCAATATTTCGATATTCATCGCCATTGCCACCGCCTGATACATCGTATTTTAGCGGTGGTTCTTGATCTTCAGCAAATGTAACATTATGACAAGCCGATGTCCATTCTCATTTTTCACCAAATGGATAGCCGGCACGATTTTCTTCTCCAAGAGGAAGGTTTGTATTACCCATGCTCTTTTAAAATCTAAAATAACAAAGATACAAGGTTAAACCAGTGACTAAAACATGAAAAACTACAACACTTTTTCACAAAAACCACTACACTACTTTTTTGTCTAACAACTTTCTATTTTATAACAAAATATAAATAATAATAAGTAAAATACAAAAATGCCGTATACACAACAAAAATAAAAAGAACAATAGAGAAACGTATTATATTAAATAACTGCATAATCAATATCAGATATTCGTTGCTGTTGGTCTAATTCATCTTTTATCGTAGAATTTTGGTGAGTGGGCAATGATTCACTTGCAGTATGCATTCGATATTGTTGTAAACGGTGGTTTTCCTTCATTAAAGACACATCAGAATGAGTTCTACTTTGTATATGCATATTTGTGACCAAAGCTTGAATGGTAGAGAATTACTTTAGCAGATAGCGGTAAAAACTGAATCAATGGGAGTGGGGATTCTGCCACTTTGTAGAGCACAGTCTGAAGTATATATTCAGCAATTTTTTGGATTCCTGGACTTGTAGTTTTTGAGAAAAGGATTTCTGAAGTTTTTTCAGGTCTTTTTACCCAACTTTTGAAATTTAAATAAGATCTTTAAATTTTAAAACGAAGACTTGTTTGTTGTATCATCAGATAGAGGACATCAAGTTGTATACAGAAAAAGTGTTCATCATTCCAGGATGAAGTCTGACGGAGAAATTCAGCTTTTATCTTCCTGGTGGAATTTTAGGGCTCAAAGTATTTTGAAAAAACCTTGTTCGAATTTTTTCGAAAAGGCAGCATTTTGGATTTAATTTACATTTACTTTGCCCTTTCTGAACTTGCCGTACTCAAAAATTTAACAACATTCGTTTGGCGTATTTCTCTAAGTCGTTTTTGATCGGATAAGCATGCTACTGAACCGTGAATTTTTTCTATTATTTTTGTGTTCTTTTTACAGTGAATTTTTAGTGTTTTCTTTCGTTTGGTTTTCTATAGAATTCTTTATTTTTATAAACTACTGGAAAAAGTAAAGAAAAGTTGGTACGTTTATTAACATTATTCTCTTTTTCCCGTTTCTTTACAACACCGGACAGCTAAGCCGACGTTTCGCGCTGGCTACGCGGAAGTCCAAAGCTGACTTATCCAAGCAGAAAAATAAATCGTAAAGCGGACGCTTGCAGCTACCTGACCCTATTTTTAACCCATCAAAGCTAGCTTAAGTGAGTTGAAACTAGCTGATGTGTTTGAATTGGACGCTAAGCGCTTAATTAAGTGCCCACTGGATCGACCGCTTGCAGCTAGCAAGTGGACACTTGCTCGGCGCAGCTAGCTATTTGACCCAAAAAATCTACGATTAAGCGGACGCTTGAGCTATTTGATAAGCTAGATTTCCGTGCTTACTTTTTTCTGCCTGAGTGTCCGCCATCTGAGAGGGATGTATAATAGAAATGCAAAAGAAGTGCGATCTATGCAACACGTTAGTTCCTACACTTTGCTTTCCATTGACGTTTCGGCCGTCTTGTATTTTAGATACTGAAAAACGCTGTCCTGTGCAGAGGTACTTTCTCCTTCTTGGCTTTTCTACGATTAGAAAGATTTCCTATTCACTTTCTTTGTTTACGATGCGACACGTTTTTCTTTAATTTTTCACTGCAACCTGAGGAGAAAAACTTTTTTGAAAACTAAATAGATGAGAATGTAGTCCGCGCAAAATCGTATCGATCCATTTACTCATCCTCATTAACTCGTTAATAGTAAAACGAACCTATTATAAAACTCAGTGTTGGTAGAAAGCTCTACTGTTCATGAGAAAGGCACAACATTGCTGGCACGAATGCTGTTTCAGAAAATGTGGTTTAGTAAAGGACAACGTTCATTTAGTATATGAAAACTATTAATTAAGTCTAACCAACT